CAGCTATCCAGTGCGTTGTGATTGGCCGAATACCTCAAGCGTGTGACGGAAATGTTCCGCCCCTCACATACTGTGATGATGCCCTGTCCGGCCGGAGCGATGATTCAAAAACATTAAAACCCATTATAAACGAGGCATTTGTTGCATTCAGTGGGGACATAATTACTGATTATAATGACTTATACTGTCTTTTTACACGTTGCATAAACATAAAACCATGTCTGCATTTGTGATCGCAGAAACGACAAACAACAAGCGCTACTCTACGCTGCTCAAAACTTGCGTTTGAATCATCAGTGGCAAATTCTTTAAATATAAAAAACGTACTTACAGGCTGAGTCAGAAGTGCCAGACTGTCCTTTCAAAGTTGGAACTGCCCCACTTTATAGAAACAGCCTTTGTGTGTAGACGGCATTGTAGTCTACTCTCCCGGGTTCAGGAAACAGTCCTCCATAAAATGCGCTGCACACATCTGAATAATTTGGGTTGAACTGTTCTGGAACAGTGTTGAAAATACAACTTAACCACTGATTTCTAGTTGTGTCCTCTTTTGGAAGACCAAACAAAGTAATTTCGCTTTTCGTCCTGACATTTTATCCTACCCGTCAGATTTTCCTACCAGGGCTTACTGCGCATGCGCACATCAATATTGCGTCCTTTTTTCTCATGCTGAACAACAATATTTAATGTATCTGCATTACTGTAAGGGTATGTTTAAGGTTGGGGTAGGTGTAGACTTTAATAAAACACAATCTAATAGGTAGAAAAAATGATTTATTGTTGGTTTCCTGTAGCTGTATCCCTTCTAGCCACAACCGCGAATATAACACATAATTACTGTATTTGCATTACTGTAAGGGTAGGTTTAGGATTGTGGTAAGTGTAGAAATTAATAAACCATAATTTGACAGGTAGCATTTATTGTTGTCGAATTGTACTACCTACTGTTTTAATGGGAGGTAGCAAAATCTGACAGAGTAGCACAAATCGACAGAACAACGGCGGGCTAGAGTGAGGAACGGCCGGCGGGCTTGCGGCAACCACATGTGACGCCCCCGGGCTGGACTCCACTTCATCCACGGTGAAAGCCAATCTGGCGATCCACAGCGCGAAGTTGATGTATTTCCTCAGCGACCAGCACGGATCAGCTCTAAGCATGACGAAGCGGATATCGTCCTCTTTTGGAAGGCCAAACAAAGTAGTTTCGTTTTCACAACAAACACACAGCGCCTACACGACATGGCGGCGGCTGCTAAAACAATACTACAGCGAGAATAAAAGTTACGCCGCTTTTCTTTGCGTGAACATTTGGGCGGCATTATGCAAATCTTCCCACACTGTGACGTAGACATGTGGGGGCGTGTTTAAACGAGGCATTTTAGGAGGGCGTGGACCAGTCTTAACTTTTATAAAGAATATCTCTTTGGGTTTAAGACTTAAGTCTTTGCAACTTTAGGGATCTTATTTATTCACGAACAGCTTGTAACACTCCAAAGAGAAAGGACAATTTGAAATTGCATCATATGACCCCTTTAAAATGATTTCTGAAGGATCATGTGACACTGAAAACTGGACACTGAATGCTGAAGATTCATTACAGGATTAAATAATGCTTTAAAATGTATAAAAATAGAAAGCAGTTTTTAAATTGTACAAATATTTCACAATATTACTGTTTTTACTGTGTTTTAGATCAAATGGGTAAATGCAGCCTTGGTGAGCATAAGAGACTTTTTAAAAAACCTTTAAAAACACTTACAGAGTTGAACACAAGTGTATCTCATTTATTTTATATAATGTTTAATGATCATGTGCAAAATGATTTGATAATCATGTGAAAAAACAATCACAATTTTAGTATTCACTTCATTGTCATTGTCCACTTATGTAGTTCATTCACGAACATAAGTCATTTTGTTATAAATATCAACATTGTTTGCATATGAAAAATTGGTTACACTTTATTTTAAGGTGTCCTAATTATACATTTAAATACTGAGTAATACATGTACTCACTATATGATTAGGGTTTGGCTTATGGTTGCTTGCATGTAATTATGCATAATAAATTGTTATTATAATAGTAAGTATATGTAACGTGTGACAAGGACACCTTAAAATAAAGTGTTACCGAAAAATTATCAGCTATAATAGAAGAAAATGGACATTTGAGCTATTTTGCAGTTGTTTTAATGGCTTTGTTATTGTTTCTGACAGTAGCTGCAGTTACAGATTAGCATTTTAAATGATGCTCCTCTGTTACTTGTCCTTCCTTTCTCAGGTTTCGGTGACTTTGGAGAACTTCCAGGACATCTCTCTGCCCATCCCAGGGAAAGAGGACCTTGCCAAGCTGCACTCTTCCTCCCACCAGACGGCTCTAGTCAAGGCTGGTTCGTGTGGAGAAGCCTACGCCCCTCAAGGCTGGGTTGCTTTCGTCATGGAATATATCAAGAGGTGTTATGCTGACATTTCTTTTTTGTGAGACTGTACCCTTGTGAAAAAGTACACTGAAGCATACTTTTAAAAAGAGTTCTTATTATGGAAATAAGTGTGAGCTGCGAGTAAATGAAAATGTGTTATAGTTTACATTAAGATTAAATGCAGTTAGTTGAATTTAAGAATGTGTTTTTGACCCACTTCAGTAGGATTTAAGTACTTCTTTCGATGTAATTTCATAATTTATTCTATTACACTTGAAATACGGTTAATCTATATTGAATGTATTGATAAGCATCTATGGTCAACTAAACCATATTTAAATCAATTCTATTTGAACTTATATTCAAGTATTTTTAATATTTAAAATATTATATACATTATATTAACTTTCATTATAATGTTACAAATAAATTATAAGCAAATACTTTACATGTGCTTAGGTATGTTAGTATGTATTGCTTTAAAGCATGACAAGGTTAATAAAATGTATTTAAGTAAAACGTTTAATTTATAGTAATTTGGGTTACTTTATTTTGTTACAGTGTAGTAATATTATTGAGTAATATTAATTAACTACATATACTTACTATATGTTTAGGGTTTGGCTTAGGGTTACTTGCATGTAATTATGCATAATTAATTGTTATTATTATAGTAAGTACAAGTAATATGTGTAACAAGGACACCTTAAAATAAAGTGTTACCGTAATTTGACATGACTAAAAAGTGCATTATGAAAGTGTACTTAAGTCTGTTAAGAACCAGTCATAAAAAATTGTACTCTTAAGTACTCTAAAAAATTGTACTCTTATTATTAATTAATTAATATTATATTACTGCAGTTACAGTTATTTTTAATGTATACTTTTAGGATTTGAAGTGCACTACAAATGCACATTCAATACAATTAGGTGCATAAGGGTATATTAAGTGCTGCCCTGAGTCATTATGTCCATAAAATATAATTAAGTCAATTGCAAGTATTTAAGCATGTATATAACATTGTATCCCAAGAAAACCGACTTAACATGTTTCTTTTGAATGATTGACCCTCACTGTTTATTTCTGCTCATTGATTTTTAGTTGGTTCTGGGGGCCTGTGGTCACGCTGCAGGACTGTCTGGCTGCCTTTTTTGCAAGGGATGAACTAAAAGGTTTGACTTTTTTGTTTCTTCCCCTCTCTCAAAGCTGAAATTTTGCTTTAAACCCAAATTAATCAATAGGACCTATTGAACAGGTGATTGTGCTCTTTAGAGTCTCAGATCTAGAAAAAGAAGATGAATATGGATATCTTCATGGCATATGGTGTTAATATTTACCATATCAGTGGTGTAATTCTTACTGGTTGTTGTTGTTTTTTTCAGGAGACAACATGTACAGCTGTGAAAAATGCAAGAAGTGAGTATGAACTTGTTGGAGAACTTATTGAAGATGATGAATGCAGAAATTAAAGTGTTAATGTTGATTCTTTGGTTGTTTCAGGTTACGGAATGGGGTCAAATTCTGCAAAGTTCAGAGTTTGCCAGAGGTAGGTACACAGATGACCTATTGTGGTTATTATACAGGGTTAGGCACCACATTATTATTTGTTTGTCAGTGTTTGAAAAGACATCAGATTTACATAGGAAGTACACAAAATAATAAAAACACCACAAATAAAGTCCGCAATGTCTTGGCCTTGTACCAAGTCTGTCTGAAAGGAACACAAAACCTGGGCCTTTGAGCAATAATAGTAATATAATGGGTAATAAAGTCTGGTGAGTCATCTGTTTCCTACATCCAGTGGATTTATGTTTGGAGAGAGACTAAGAATGCCTTCAAAATATAATATCGGCTGCCATCTGGTAAATATGCTCAGGGACCTGTAATGGCAAGAGCAGCCATCTTATGGGAGTCGTTAGATCTGCTGATTCTTCAGTACGTCTGTAGAATGGCCAAAGTATTTTACTGGGCCACCATGATAAAAAACCTCAACTGGTAGTACCACTCAGTCATGCTGTACAAATTGCCCAAGTAGTTATATTTTGATATGAACAGACATGGCAGGTTTTTCTTGTTGGAAATTGTCAGCAAAATGTGATTTTCTGCTTTGTTGAAATTCTGTCTCCCCAACAGATTCTGTGCATTCATCTCAAGCGCTTCAGACATGAACTTATGTTCTCCACCAAAATCGGCACTCACGTGTCCTTCCCTTTGGAAGGCCTCGAAATGCAGCCCTTCCTGGCCAAGGACTGCTCCGCCCAGACCACCACCTATGACCTGCTGTCAGTCATCTGTCACCACGGCACTGCCAGCAGTAAGTCTTTTAGGCCAGGGAGATGGTCATAAATGTTTTCTTCTTATAAATTCATGTATCATTTACAGCAGTTACACTAAGTAATATAAATTAGTATTGCTTATATATTTTTTGAAAAAAAATTCTAATTTTAGAAATAAATGTAATAAATTACTGTGATTTATTTTACATTACTATAAGAGATGTGTAAGTGGTTTCAGGTAGTGAAAGTTGTTTTATATTAATTCAATAATAGGGGAGTGGGAACAGGAAATGATCAATTCTGATTCGAACACACATTGCATACATGAGCACCACAGCTCAGTGTGTGAGATATTTTTAATGCGATTTTTGCTTTAAGGTGGCCACTATATTGCCTATTGTCGGAACGAGCTGAACCAGCTGTGGTACGAGTTTGATGACCAGAGCGTTACTGAGGTGTCTGAGTCCTGTGTTCAAAACGCTGAGGCATATGTGCTCTTTTACAAGTAAGACCATTTATGAACCAAGATTTATTTATTGCTCCTAACCCTAATTCTACTAACATCCCTCATATAACCTTTCAAACATAATCTATAAAATTATATTATAACATGAATATATATATTATATAATAAATAACAGTACATTTTGGTAATATCTCAATTGCGTTTGTATGTATATATGCATGTGTGTATCCTCTTTAAAAAAAAAATGTTTTGTCCTAACCCTCTTATATTCAAAATGTTTTGGACTTGATTTTCTTTTCTTTGAAATTAAATTATAAATAAATAGATACAATTTTGAATTAAAATAAGTAAATTAATGATTAATAAAATAAATTCATCTAACAGTACAGTACTATACGGAATAGAAAAGGAATGTAATAATGTAACTTGATAGAAACTAAATATTTTGTTGTATTTATAATTTTATAGTATAATTGGGTCTTTACGCTAGAAACTACACAGATGGCTTCTGAATTTTAGGATGGGGTCCCTCGCGTGATGATCTTCAAATTTGGGGAAGCGTGGCATCTAAAAGATTAAAAATCCCTGGCCTATGCAACCCGTTAAAATGGAATGAAATAAGGCCTTGCAAAGTGGCTAATGGCTAAATAATCCTAATTTTAAATTGTATTGTTTTTTTTGTTATTTTTGCATTATTTATTAAATAGAGTTTTAAATCTATTAAATAATATGACTTCTCATAATTATGTTTGCCTATTGATTCTTTTTCTAGTCTTTCCTGGTATAGTCATGAACAAACAATGATTTAAGATGCAGCTGTTTTTTAGGTAGAAGAGCTCAAGGTTATGTTGAGCAGGACAAACAGCCTTGAGTCTGACTGTAAATCTCAGTGCTGTGGTGAAACGTTTGTGTTGACAGTTGTTTGAATGGTGCTGATGTCACGTGTGTGTGTGTGTGTGTGTGTGTAACAGGAAGAATAACGATGAGACTAAGAAGGAGAGGCGGAAGGTGACCAGTCTGCTCAACATGATGGAGCCAAGCCTCCTGCAGTTCTACATCTCCCGCCAGTGGCTGAACAAGTTCAAAACCTTCGCTGAGCCAGGACCCATCTCCAACCATGACTTCCTGTGTGCCCACGGAGGTGAGGACCACTCTTATGAAGATCTAGGATCAAGTATTTTATACACCACGGATATGACTCCACACCAGATATAATTGCAGATTCTACCAGCGTTACAAAAGTCAAGTGCTGCCACATCCTTTTCACTGATTATGTTTGTTTTTACTCTCTTCCTCTCCTTTTCACTTAAAAAGTGCAGTATGAGGTCAGCGAATAAATGCGAATCTCTTCAGAAAGCATTTTCGTCCCCTTGATCTGATTTGTTTGAATTGAGTCAAATGAATTTGAAGGAAAAGATCTGACAGAGGAACAAAGATATAAGAAGTTCCCTATGAATTATTTATAAATCTTCTTGCTTGCTGTTTCATGTTGACTTTCAGGGGACAGATGCCCATTTCTTTGTCGTAAGACTAGGAAAACGAATTATCTGTTGGTTAAAACCTCTTGTTTTTCTTCTTCTCCAACAGGAATTCCACCAAATAAAGCCTCGTCTGTTGACGATCTTGTTATGATGCTTCCCCAAAATGTATGGGACCATCTGTATAGCAGGTAAAAATTGTTAACTGCTCTTTTCATAACTTCCAGTGGAAGTTCAGTTTCTTATGAAATGCTAATTGGTGGCTCGTTGTCTAATAGGTATGGAGGCGGCCCCGCTGTCAATCACTTGTATGTCTGCCACACCTGCCAGAATGAGATCGAGAAGCTGGAGAAACGTCGCAAGAATGAGCTGGACATGTTTGTTCGGGTAGGAGCCGCAGTGGCATCCTAGATTAGGAGGACATGTAGAGTTTTGTCATAAGACTAGGAAAACGAATTATCTGTTGGTTAAAACCTCTTGTTTTTCTTCTCCAACAGGAATTCCACCAAATAAAGCCTCGTCTGTTGACGATCTTGTTATGATGCTTCCCCAAAATGTATGGGACCATCTGTATAGCAGGTAAAAATTGTTAACTGCTCTTTTCATAACTTCCAGTGGAAGTTCAGTTTCTTATGAAATGCTAATTGGTGGCTCGTTGTCTAATAGGTATGGAGGCGGCCCCGCTGTCAATCACTTGTATGTCTGCCACACCTGCCAGAATGAGATCGAGAAGCTGGAGAAACGTCGCAAGAATGAGCTGGACATGTTTGTTCGGGTAGGAGCCGCAGTGGCATCCTAGATTAGGAGGACATGTAGAGTGAAAAATGTCTGTTCTTTTTGGGTTGGTCTAACGCCTGCACTGTTATCTGGCCTCTTAATGCGTGCACAGACCTCACACCCCCCACCACCAACACCCTCTCAGACTGAGAACAGAAGTGTGACCCCTGCCCCTCCCCCCAAAATTGTGCTCATTATTAATGCATGAGAACAAAAGTGCTTGATTTCACCCAGAGATGCTTTGCTTAGTTTAAGTTAAGGCCAAATGACTGATAATATAGACTTTCATGTAGTTATGTGCCTATATTAAAATTCTCGCTGATAACCAGACATTTAGGGCTGCAAGTAATGATTAATGTCGCCGTTGATTAATTTGCGCAGAGCAGAACCAGAAATGTTTCTAGTAAACCCACCACTCGCACTACTTGTACTATAAAATGACTACATTTACATTGTGTTAGACAGTATAAAAGACTCAAGATGCAAGTGCAACAATGAAAGGTCTCTGACTAGTGCATGTTCACGTAGAACAATTATAGAAAAGCAGTGCAGTACAATGCGTTCTGTGTTCTCTGTGCCTTATAGGAAGCAGTAACTTATGTAAGGCATAGACAGCAATGCAGCTCACTAGGATTTGGAACAGAGCTTCTGTCTCGGTTTATGGTGTTATTGTTTGGCGGCAGTGAGTAGGATGATATTTGATAAAGAAACACTCAGGAAATGGTATCTGTCTCTTCATGTTTTTTTTCTCTTTCCCCATCTTTTCTGTCCTTCATGTAGCTCAATAAGGCGTTTCAGGAGGAGGAGTCTCCTGTGGTGATATACTGTATCAGCATGCAGTGGTTCCGGGAATGGGAAGGATTTGTCAAAGGCAAGGACATTGGTAAGTCATTTCTCATCCCTGCTGCTGATACTTCTGAAGTATCTGAAAGTTTGAAATTGAATATTAGCATTATGTTTTGCAGTTATTGATGACTAAGGAGTTCTTGAAGAATTTCATTATAGATTTTGTATGCTTTTCTCTTTTGTTTGGGGTATTTGGTGTGTTTCTGATGATGGTCTTGTATCTTTCAGACCCACCAGGACCAATTGATAACTCCAAGATTGCTGTAAATAAAAATGGACACATCACATTAAAACCAGGTAATGTTTAGGATCAGGATTTATTTAATTTTTTTTTACATTTGTCATTTCTTTTAAATTCACCGTAAAATACGCTAAACTGAATTATCCAATTCTGTCATCATGTCGTACTAAACCTCTATGGTTTTCTTTCTTCTATGAAACATACAATAGTGTTTAATGTTGTTTGAACCTGAAAGTTCCTCAAAATATTGTTAAAGTTGAATAACATTAGGTTAAGTAATTTTTAAGTGAACTGTCCTTTTAGTAAAGTAAATCAGGTCAATATTAGCTTTACGTTTCAAATATAGCTGCACAGTAATGGTTAAAATGATTGATTATTTTGCTCAAAAATTATAATTGTGATTATTAATCACAGTTGTTTTATTTGAGAAACTTCTTTTTAGATTTAATCAGATTCATTGCACTTTCACATAAACACAAATCTTGAGTTTATGCTTTAACACACTCTGTAACAAAACCTTGAAAAGCTTCTCAAAAACTAAAACCATACAATTCCTTTTATTGATTAAAATAATTCCAAATTCTGTAAAAAGGATATTTCACCTAAAAATGAAAATTGTCATCATTTACTCACCCTCAAGTTGTTCCAAACCACGATCAAGGCTCAGAAACGTAGCAAGGACATTGTTAAAATGTGACATCAGCGGTTCGACCGTAAGTTTTCGAAGCAACGAGAATACTTTTTGTGCGCAAAGAAAACAAAAATAACGACTTTATTCAACAATTCGTCTCCTCCGCGTCACCCTGTAGCGCCATTTTGGAGAGGATCCACTGAATGTAAACAACGTATGCTGTTCTGTGTCAGCCGCACCACGCGGATACATTGTTTACACTTTGATCTGAACATAAACAACGTATCCGCGTGGTGATGCTGACACTGAACAGCATACGTTGTTTACGTTCAGATCAAAGCACGCGCATACGTCGTGATACTTTCCAAAATGGCACGAGGGTGACGCGGAGGAGACAAATTTTTATCGTTATTTTGGTTTTATTTGCGCAAAAAAATTATTCTCGTAGCTTCGAAAAATTACGGTTGAACCACTGATGTCACATGGATTGTTTTAACGATGTCCTTACTAAGTTTCTGGACCTTGATCGTGGTAATTACATTGCTGTCTATGGGAGGGTCAGAGAGCTCTCGGAATGCATAAAAAATATCTTAATTTGTGTTCCGAAGATGAACGAAGGTCTTACAGGTTTGGATCGACATGAGGATAAGTAATGAATGACAGAATTTTCATTTTTGGGTGACTTCCATAGTATTTTTTTCCATATTATGGAAGTCAATGGGTATACATTCTTCAAAATCCAAGTTCTGATTGGGGTTTTAAGCTCTTGATATCTAAATGCTTGTGGAGACAAACAAAAAAAACACACTTTGACTTCCAGTGTTTTTTTTCCCCCCCCATACTATGGAAGTCAATGGCTACACACTCTTTAAAATCCAAGTGTGATTGGGATTTTAAGTGCTTGTGGAGACAAGGAAATAACAAAGAATTAACCAGCGTGCCAATATCGCAGTTGATTATGCTTAATTAATCGATAGAAGCAGAAATCGTGATCACGATTAAAATCAGATTAATTATTTAGCCCTGCAATTCAGTAGTGCACCTGCTTGTTTCAAGTACCTATCATTAACACATTTGCTCAAAAAACATGCGTTTTGCTTCTATTCTGCTTTAACAGGTGCCGATTCAGGTCAGATATCTGAAGAGACCGCATAAAAAGTAACTAAGTAACGCAATTAGTTACTTTTTTTAGGGAGTAACGCAATGCATTACTTTTAAAAGTAACTTTCCCCAACACTGGTCCCTAGACCCTAGCTTGAAAACCCCTTTGTAGAAAACACAGTAACAGTGAGGAGACTGTCTTACAATTCGAGCCATTCTTTTGATTGTGAACTTAATTAACTGACCTCAGCCTGACATAACATTAAAGTAGTTTACTGAGCCCTAAATAGCACTGGTGCAATCTAGCCACTATTTCCACTTGTAGACAGATAATAGTGCATTCTTCAGTACAATATGCTACTCATCATCAGGCTGAACTGCTCTGTCAGCTCAGTGCTGACAGCAGAGCTCGTGAGAGCCGGTCATTATGAAAGCAGCGAGCGTGTGGGCCGCGGCTGCTGTCCTGTACGGTATCGCAGTGAGCGGGATTGTGGGATTCACATTCACAGCAGCACCGAGAGAGGGGAAAAAAAACATGGCGGCTGCCGAATGTGCAGCAAACGATTTGCGGAAGTGAGGTAAGTGTAATTCTGTAGCTTCATAACCCCTTTTACATTCAATTATCCGCCACTCACGTCCAATTCCCCGACTTTATCTCGAAGTTAAAGCAGACTCCGCTTCAGGAACCGAGTGGATTTGACGGGCAAAGTTGTTGCGGCTGTTCAGTTGTGTATGTTCACGCTGCCCCCGCTGTTCCACGCTAGCCTGTTAGCTTCCACATTTCGGCCCGTTTTAATCTTCAAAAGTCATGTACTCACTTAACGTTACTCTGCTGTTTGCGTTTATTTGACACCGGGAAACAGCATTTTATCCGTTCGTTAACAAGTGTTACGAATGAGCGTTAAATAGGGTGCGCCAAATTCGTTAGCATTAGCATGCTAAAGTGAGTCTGTATCGTCTTTATTAGCGCTCTTAGCCAAAATGCTAATTAGTGGCTGAAAAAAAGAAACCTAATTGTTTTGTTTCTCGTTGTTGCGTGCACACTGAATATGTTATTTGTTGCGCGAAACAAGTGGAATTGCGCATCCTGTGAATGCAGTAGTGAGCTAATAAAACCCTGCGGACACATTTGTTTTGTTCCGTTAAACTGTTAGTTGTGTCTTAAAAGCATGTGTTAATAAAAGATTTTAGGAGGTGCGTGAAGCAAACGTGTTGCGTTAGAGGCTAATTCAAAAGTCGAGCTCCGCTCGGAAGTCACCGGAGCTGGAGAAACTTGCAGCGGGGTGTTTGGGAGGCAAGCCGGGGCTGCACATCATGCCGAGCCGCGCGGATGCGGTGTTGCCGGAGAGGCCCGTTAAATGCAGTTGAAGGAGAAAATGTTTCTTCTCACGCCTGTTCTAGAGAAACGACGGTGAGTTAATCATCTGCAGTAGTGCTTAAAGCACTCTTTGTTCGTGTGTCAGGTTTATTAGCGCAAACCCGTTTCTGAGGAAAACACCACATTCTGAGAAGGTTTAGCATTTTTCAATCACGGAGCCAAACCGGGTTCTCTGAAACCACTGCGACGAGCAATTTAGAAAACGTGCTGAGCCGCACTGAGGGCGAGTGCTTCCCTCCGCGAGTCCGCGTTGTCACTTGGGCTGGGCTGGAGTGTTTTGTGATGATAGTTCATTGGCGAGCACGTGTCAATTTAAAGTTCTTATCCACTATTATTCAGGAAGTTTAAACTTCTTAACGCGTGCTGCAGAGTGACAACTTAATATTTCACGTCTCTACAAAAACAGCCCGAGTGAGTTTGAGGGCAGTCGGCGGTTATCTCGCCATTCTGGGATGAGCTTCTATTAGCACCATAGACTGTGGTTAGCACCTGCCAGCGGCTGAGGTAGTAGAGTCTGTTCTTGTTTAGACAAAATTGTGTCGATTATAATATGTCCATTGTTTATTGGATGAAAATAGCCAAATACAGTCATTTTTAATAAAACATTTGAATCAGTTTCTTCCAAAATTCCACATCCCGTCCAACGTTGTTCTCAAAACGATATGCAATTTGAAGGCACAGTAGGCTGTGTGCTAACATTATGTGCAAAAAGGGAAAACTTGAAACTGAAATGTAAAAGTTAAAATCACTAAATTACAAATAAAGAAACACAAAAGCAGAGACTTTAACTTGTGCAAGGTAGGAGGAACGCACATTCCCTTATGTTTACATTTATACTCCATTACAGAGTAGACTGTCTCTGCTCTCAAAAATGAATAGTTACTTGTGTTAAATGTATTCGTAGTGTAATGTCATTTTATCATTATTCTTAATATTTAACGACAAATAGTTTAGAAAAATGTCAATTGTATATGCTAACAATGCAACAGTAAAATGTAAGTGCTGAGGAAAATGTCTCAAATGCATTAAACAACACACATGTGCCGGAGCGCCTGACAGGGCAAGCTACTTTAAACGAAATGCTTTTATTGAAGCGTTTAATATGACACATTCTGACTTTAGGTTGTGCACTTTTCCCGCAACTGGTCACTCTATGTTCTTTGTTTTTTTTTCCCCCAGATGCTTTTTGTCCATATAAATGTTATTCGGTGCTGTGAAGTGACTTGATTGGCAATTGATATCTGTGCATAGTGCAAACTGATTAATAAACATCCCTAAAAACTGCATATTTGAATTATTTGTCAATTGAATTGCAGTGTGTTTCCGAATAAAGTTTATCGTACAGTTCCTCCTGGTTGAGGCATCATACATCAGTATATAATGTCTATACATATAGCTAATGTCCATCTGAAGACTTAAAATTATATTAAAGCAATAGTTGCTTCACAAATAAAAAATCTTGTCATTATTTAGACTAGAAATTTAAGTTGTCATTCACTAAAGTCGACCTTAGCTTAAATCTTATTTACCTTCATATTCACATTAAAAAATGGTGCATTTATTTGCTGTTCTAGCATTAGGGGTTGAACGACTTCTGAATATTTTATTTTTTTTTAAAGTCGACTTTTATGTGATGAAAGTCGACTAGTCGCTGATGACGTCATTAATGAACAAATAAGTCTGGAGCTGTGACAAACACCTTGTGCACAGCTATGGCATATGACACAGCACTGCCCACATGGCTATTGCTCCTGTAACAGCTCATTTTTAACAGTTCTTTTGTCTTTGGGTCGTTATATTTCTCACAGATTTCTGCTCGTTCTAAATCAGATACAGATAAAGTAGCACAGTAAAGATTACATTCATATGAATGCATTGAGAGCGATTGCGTGTGTGAATTAATTCTACCTGGCAGCGTCTCTCTACTAGTAGTGAAGCTTCACTCACTCATATTTGAGTTCCCAGATAACCTCATTATGCACAGATGACTCATGTCAGAAGGGTTGTAGCGTATGTGATGACATTAGTGGTGACTCTTCCATTAACAAGAGTTTTTCCCTCTCAATTTATGATCATGATGAATATAAATAGTCTTTCAAAAAAATCAGATCAGTAAATTGCAATAAATGAGAGGACAGGGAAAAGAAGACAAAGGTTTCCTTTATATTTTAAGTAGATCTATCAGCCTGCATGTCTTTGTTCCAGTTCAAACCACAGGTCTGGATTTGCTGAATGGAAAAACCGGTCTTTTATAGTCTTTTTAGAAAGATGAAAATATAGTCTAGTAGTTAAACTGACATGGGTAGTAATGGAAAATTATGTTTTCTAATTCTAACCATTTTGGTGCTTTTAGTATTCAGGCCTGACACCACCCCGTCTGTCTGTTTTCCGTCTCGTTTTTTATATGCATGGCCAAATCACATTAGACGCTCACCAGGAGGCTTCAGTGGAGTGTGAATAAGGGATGCGTGTAAGACCTCAGGTGCTTCTCATTTCTCAAGCAAAACTAATGTCAGTGGTGCGAAATCATATTCAGAGCCTCTCATCATTCAGATCACACTAATGGTACATGGCAGTGATGGTGCAGACTGAAGAATGTGGTGTGGTCTTTAGTGTCCTTTTTAATGTGAATGATCTAGAGCTATGGTTTCATAAAAACAGTTTTTCCCCCTTCAAGGACAGGCTGTTTGGAAGTGTTCTGGCTGTAATAAAACCTAAAATTATCTCTCTTTTTTTTTCTTACTGCATATGTCCTAGATGTATCCTCTTGCACGGCCTTGGCAGAAATGGAGGCAATTGAGAAATTTGATATGGTGTAATCTAATTTGTCACACTTCAAGCTTCTGTTTGACTTTAGTACCATAGTAATTATTGAGTAATGCAGACGACAGTACCAGCCCAGTGCTCCCTTCAGTCTCCTGTGAAGCCCCTCCAGATGAAATGTGGTGTGTTTTTGCTGCTGCCTTGCAGATTTTGCGCATTTCACTGTTCTCATAGCAATATATCATATTCTGTAAGCACTGGTCTTTGGACTGACTGCTTCATTTGTCATACCCCGGGTCCAAAATTAGCTTTTTGCAACGCATGCCGATGGCTGGTGAGTTGAGAAAATGTACCGTTAAATGTTATTTCGAGTTTTGTATTGTTCTCTTTCTTTCTTTCTTTTTTTCTTTCTTTATTTCTATTAATAATGGGATGTTTTAAAACATTTAAAGGAATACTTCACCCAAACCCATAAGAGCTTTGTTCATCTTTGAAACACAAATGAAGATAGTTTTAATGAAACCTGAGAAATGTCTGTCCCTCAAATGAAAGTCCATTTCACAGAAATTTGATGTGTTGAAAAGACATTGTGAAAATAATCCATATGAACTGAGTGGTTTAATCGAAGTCATTATTGCTACGTATGAAGGAACCAATTTAATTTAGGTGTTTATTCACATGTAAACATTGATCAGTGCACATACATAAAGAACATCAAATATGGTAAACAGAAGCTTAAAGGGTTAGTTCACCCAAAAATGAAAATTAGCTTGTGTTCTACTCACCCTCGAGGCATCATAGGTGTATCGAGACTAGCATATCTCAGAGGCGCTCGCGCTGCGCATTCGCCTTCCGCCAGAACACCTTTCGCGTAAGACGGACACCGGAAGTGAGAGAAAAGTGTTTATTACGT